TTTCTATGATGATCACATGTACGATTTCAATTATTATGACGAGCCTATTTTATAAAAGGAGGAGGTGAGAATTTGATCCTTACCCAATTGAAAAGATATAAAATAAGTAAGAGAAAATTAGTTTCTAATCACTTACTTGTCGTGTGAGATTTTAAAAATTTCCACAGACATTTAAAGTGATCTCATGTCACGAAAATCAACAAGATTTCACAGATATGAGAGCAAAGCTTATATGTTAAAACTAACTCTCCTTTTATAATTCAAATTAAAAATTTATTTAAGTTCCATGAGAGATTTTAAGGATCTTTATAGGGACTTAAATTAATCACATCATCGTGTAGGACAATAAGCCCTCGCAGATATAGTGATTTTCAATTATTATAGATAAGTAATTTTTGTAAATAACCATATAATATACAATTTAAGAAACTTAATTATCCAAATTAATGTAGTTAAATTGTAACCACATTTACCGATTATATCTTTTAGTCATGTGAGATTTTTGAGTCTCCGTAGGCTTCTAAGATCATCGTATTATCGTATGAGTCAATAAGACTCTGTAGATATAACGATTAAGTTTATTAAATATATATAAATTATATATTAAATTAATCAAATTAAAGATGTATTTATTTAAATCTAATTCCTTTATCGTGTGAGATTTTGGAATCTTCACAGATATTTAAGATAATCATATTACCGTATAAGTCAATAAGGCTTTACAGGTATGTTGATTAAAATTCTTCAAAACATGTATCTACATGCTAAAAAAAAATTATTATTAACACTTAAAAATATACATAAGAATATAAATAAATAAATTAAATTGCCAAACTCTTTTATCGTGTGAGATTTTAGAATCTCCGCAGATATTTAGAGCAATTGCATTATCGTATGAACTAATTAGGTTCTGCAGGTACTGCGATTAAATCCTCAATCATAAAGAAAAATAATTTTAAACCCTTTCCTTTCTTTATTCCAAAAATTCAAAAATGAAGAAAATAATTAAAATTAAATTACCTTTTGTAATTTAAAACACACATATCAAAATTTCAGAAATGGTTTTATTTGCAAAATGGTAAATTATTTCTAATTAATTTCTCTTCAAAAATATTTTCATCACCAAACTTTCAAGCCCGAACTACGTGGACTTTGATCCCCATCACAGGGTACGTAGGCCTCAGAGTCAGATTCTGAGTTAAGTCCGTCCTCCCTCGTAAATAAATAAACATTTCACACTTAATTCTCATCATTTTTAAAACACATGAATACAAAATGGATAATTAAAATAATTATAAAACCATATTAAAAGAGCACAACAAACTTCAGGTAACCGTTCTCACGAACGGGTGTTGTGGGGTGCCTAACACCTTCCCTACACTCAACCGACTCCCGAACCTATTCTCTAATTTTGCAGATCACCCTTATCTTCCATTAATCGGTTTCCCGAGATTTCCCTCAAAATCTTGGTGGCGACTCCTCATTTGATCCGGTTCCCGCCGCGAAGGCTGGGACCTCCGCTCGCGCGCCGTTCGCGTCGCATTTTTCCGGGTGCGACACCGAGTATTGACATCAAGGCAAACAAGGCTAGTAATGTCCAATTTCTCCAACTCAGCAACACTTTTAAACTTTTAGAGACAAGCAGGAGAAGAACAAACATATTTAATTGCATTGCGGATTGCATCAAAGCTATTCTTCAACTCCTTCAACCCATCATTAACTACTAAGTTAAGAATATGTGCATAATATCTTAATTGAAGGTAATCACCCCCACAAACCATGTCATTAGACGATTCATTGTCCATTGTTATGGTAAACACCCTCAATTTTCCATTCTAATAGACACTTCTCAATTGTCTTTCCAATTGTGTCACCCCTATGATTTTCAATCATGCAAAAATTTAATATTCTCTTGTGCAACTTCCACTCAGGATCAATGAAATGACAAGTAAGGCATAAGTAATTGAAATTTTGAGTAGATGTCCAACAATCAGTTGTCAAGCAAACATGATTTGCAGACTTCTTCAATACTTGCTTCAACATCTTGATTTCTCTAAGGTATAGTTGCCAACAATCTCTAGCAACTGTTGTTCGCGAAGGGATTCGAAATCTTGGTTCTAGATCTCTCACAAAGTTTCTAATCACATACTTCTCAACTATCCTGAATGGCATCTCATCCCAAATAACAAATTTAGCCAATGACTTTCTACATCATTTTTAGTTGAAAACATAAGAGACTAAGCCCCCTCCTTGCCCACTTGGCATCATGTAGTTCAACATTGATTGCTTTGGTATTCTGGTAGCCTTATGTGGGTTTTTAGGACATTTTGAAAAGTGTCTTTTCAATGATGTTATCCCATGCTTGTTTGGGTCACAAGCATAAGTTGCATGACAGTACTTGCAAGAAACTCTAACCTCTTTATTTGTTTCTTCCAAAGGTAACTTCACAAAATACTCCCAAACTTGTGATTGTTTACTTTTCTTCTCAGGCTCTTTTCTCTTTCTACTCACATTCTCTAGACCACATTCTTGTGCAAGGTTAGAGGCAGGATTAACAGCTACAGGAGGAGGAGTTGGTGAAGTTGGTCCAATAGGAGGTGGCATTTCATTTTGATTAGAACCAATTAATTTGTGTTGGCAAAGGTTGGTCAATACTAGCAGATGCAGAAGTTTCGTCCACCATGTCTCTAATATAAAAAACAAGACACAATATTAACTTATAAAATCACAAACAGAAATATAGAGTCAGACTTTTCTCAAAGAAATATGACATATATAGAGCCACTTCTCTGTCATGATCAGTTGATCACTAGCAAATCAAATCCAACAATTAATATTATAAGCATAGGTAATCTAATTGTTGCAGAAATTGATCCTTAAAATACTGATATAAGGTTCAAATATCAGATTATAGCAACCTCACCAAAATTATAATAAATATCAGATTATATCAACCAAAAATGAGGAATGATCCTCCAAAACCAAAGCCGAAAAGGTAAAAGTGTGTACTTTTGAAAATGGCAACAATAATGCATCTCTCATCGTAGCAACCTTAACAAAAATCAAACAAAACCAGAAAGAGAGAAGTAACAGAATAGAAGCATGCGAAAATGGAACAGAAATCATTGGAGAAGTCAAAAACAAAGTAAGGAAAACCAGAAACCAAGCAAGCAAAACCAGAATGCAAGATGAATCAAAAGGTCGAGTAAAGAAAAACTAGAAACAAAGCAAGCAAAACCAAAAGAAAAACCACAAAATACGAATACCTTTCAGCTGCCGATGCCATCACTAGAGAAGAAGGAGGAAAATGCATGATGAATCAGAAGGCTGAGTGAAGTAGTCAAGCGATCGCGATATTCTTCTTCATCGGCATGCTTAAGGAGAAACAGGGCGACGGCCGACCAAGGAGAGGCGGAGAGATGAGTGAAACTTTAGAGAGCTACAGCTAGGGCAACTGGCAAGCAAAATGGAGAAATGACTTGAGGGTACTCAGCTCAGATAGACTTCAGACTTCAGAGACTTAATCCGAGGCATACACGTGAGGCGTGAGCATGAGCCGTGAGGTGAGGGTACTGAGAATCTAAGCTCACGAGTCAGCGTAACTGATTTTTTTGTGTAAATAATATAATTATTTAATATTAAATATTAAAAAAACCTAGATCGGGCCAAACTAATTGGTCCAAAAGAGCAGTCACTAGTCTAGTCTAACCCGTATGTGTAGTCTGACCCGTTTAGTCCAATCTTTTATTCAGGTTGATTTTTTTAAGACCGGGTCACACCAGGTCGAACCAAACAAACTAGGTCTGAGGTTTTTTTGCATAGCCCTAGTCCTTGCCGAATTAATGATTGTATCATTCAATGGCATCAACCGTCAACCTCTTATACAAATGTGTGGAAATTAAATAAACGATTTTTTGGGGTTTGTCTTGTAATCATGCTTGTAATTGTTGGTGCTGGTGTAAATTAATTTAATGAGGTGAGGCAAGAAACATCAAATTGTCAATTGTCAATTAATTACGATCATTAATCCACTAAAGAAATATCTTGACAAACTATGTGGTGCCTAATGAACATTGAATGGTGAAGTAGTGTCTTATAATATTTAAAAAAAAAATACACATTTGATGTCACCTAAAGCTCATATTCAACAATCAAAGTCAGACACTAGGAACTTGTTTGGTTTATTTCTCTTTTTTTAAAAAAAAGCTATTTTACAATATAATTTTTTAAAATTGTTTTTAAAACAAAACAAAAAGAAAATAAGTTTGGTTGTGTTAATTAAAAAATATTAAAAAATAGTTTTAAAATTAATAAATCGATCAATAGTGATGGTCACTGGCAGTTAATGATAATGGCTTATAATAATTATTGATTGAGATAATTGTAATTTTTAATAATTAAAGTAATGCATTTTGAAAACAAGAATAATAAAATGAAACCAACTTTGAGATGTTTTTAATTTTTGTTTTTAAAAAACTATTTTTTAAAACAAAAATAAAACATGCTCTAAATATCAATTAGCTCAATTATTTAAACGGACTTTAATTAAGCTATTCGCATTGCTTTGTTGTGCTTATTAGGGGATCTAGCTAAGCTAAGCCAAAATATGTATTTTTATGGTTACCTAAAATATTATTATCACTTGAATCAACTGGATAAGAGATCAATTCCTCTTATAGAGGTTTCAATTTAAGTCTTGTGTATGTAATTACAGTACTCTATCAGAACCATTTCACACTTGGAAGGTAGAAATAAAAGTAGCTCATGAAAAGGCAAGTCAACTGGGGAATTGAAAGGTAGTTCTAAAGAGTTAATGTTATATTATGCCGGCAAACGTGGCAAACCACATTAATCTAGGTCAGATATTAGGATACTAGAACCTAAGAAAAAATAAGATCATCTAAAATAATTTTAATATCAATTATTCTACAATTTTATAAATCAATATAATCCAAGAAATACTCATGCAACCAAAGGAAAAGAAACGAAAGAAATCGTGCTTAGAAGGTGAATCATTTTAGTTACCCTTTTTTTTAGGGAGGGGGGGGGAACATGTACAATCTGCGTCTCTCTCTTTTTCGCCTCTTTGTCGTTTTATATAATTTAACTACATCTTCCCTCAAGTATAAGAAGAGTATATGATGGTCGGTATAATATAAGCATCCTAAAAATAATAGAAGGATGGATCAGAAACTCGTGACCCAATTTCATACTCATTTACATTTGTCTCTTGAAACAACAGCATCAATCAACAACTGATATTAGGGGTTGAAGATTCACTTCTCCATTTATCAGTCACAGTATTGGGCGAAGGAGGAAGCAGGTTCACCTTCTTCAACAAGCCAACCTCTTCCTTCTCCGGCGACATTGAAGGCGGCGATGGCGGTGGTGGTGGCCCTGATGGACTCACACTTTCACTATCAAAAATCCCACCATCTTCAAGATTCTCAACCTCATTACCTTTTCCACTCTGAATCCTCTTGAGAGCTTCTAAAACCTCTTCCATGGAAGGCCTCAAATCCTTATCTCTCTGTAAACACTGAAATGCCAATTCTCCCACAGAAACTACCATCCTCTTCACCTCACTATCCTTCTCAATCCCCAAGCATGGATCTACCAGCTCAACAAATGCACTCTCTTGAATCTTCTTCACTGCCAAACTCGACAAGTTCACTTCATCTTTATTTCTACTGATATCAACTGCTGGTTTAGAAGATATCAACTCCATAAGAACGACTCCAAAGCTATACACATCACTCTTACTAGTAAGTTGGTAACATTGGTAGTACTCTGGGTCTACATAACCTGGCGTTCCTTGTGGAGCTGTGGAAACATGAGACACGTCATTAGGAAACAATCTAGAAAGTCCAAAGTCAGCAACTTTGACGTTAAAATTGTTGTCAAGAAGGATGTTGTTGGTCTTGACATCACGATGGATGATGTCTGAAGCATGAAGGTAAACCAAGGCGCTTGCAGTTTCTATGGCAATTTTGATGCGAATATTCCATGGCAACGACATGGGGTTTGAGGAATCACCATGAAGGTGACAAGAAACAGTGCCATTTGAGATATATTCGTAGACAAGAAGAAGGTCTTGACTTTGGCGCGAAGTGCAGCCATAGAGAGACACAAGATTTTTGTGGCGTAGATGTGCAAGTATCTTCACTTCATTCCTGAACTGTTCTACTCGTCTGTAATTATGTTCGTATAGCCGTTTGACAGCAACTTCTCGTCCATCACGAAGTTTTCCTAATCATTAAAGTTCATGTTAATCTTTATGATGAAAGTTGAGAGATACAAAAGACAAGTATCAGAATAGCTTACCATAGTAAACAATTCCAAAGCCACCATCTCCAAGTACTCTTGCTTGGTCAAAGTTGTTTGTTGCTTCTTGAAGCTGCTTGTAAGAGAACAGTGGGACTCCTAAGTAGATATTGCCATTTTCTAGCTCTGAATTTGAGTAGACACCAGAATAAGAGATTCTGGGTTCTAAGTACTGATCATCATCTAAACCATGTTTTCTCCGGTAACACCACCATCCGATGAGCCACACGGTCGCCAGAATGGCTGGAAGCCCAATACCTAATCCTGTAGCAGCAGGGAAGCTCCATCTTTAACATCTGATAGAATTTAATTACTCCTCAAACATAACAAATCTGGGTCATTTAAGGCACAAAAGTAAAGAATGAAGGGGGGGGGGAGGGGGAATATATATATATATATATATATAAACAATACCTATTCCGAGTCCCAGCTTCAGAACCCTGCTCTTATCCTCTGCAGCAAAAATTAAAGAAGACATTTTTTTAGAGTAAGCAACGAAGTTGTTAGTCAAAAAAAAAAAAAGAGTAAGCAATGAAGTCTAAAGCAAAAGACAATAATGAGAATCATGTTCAGTCAGCTTGCTGGATGAAACAGTAAAATGTCAGACTTGGTTATACCCATAATGAACAGTCACTTGAATCAGTCAAAGACACAATCCAGAGCGATACCAGCTACTGTTAAAGTATCAAGATTTCAGAACAAAGCAAGAAAAATTGAAAAATCTGCATAATTTTTGGACACTATTCAAGACACTATTCAAAATGTTTCTATCCCGTATCACTTAGAACAAACCATACTAAAAACAAGCATTACATATCATCTATTTGGTCTAGAATATCCTCAGACCAAACACCTCATTAGATTGTACCTCCCTCGCAGTAAAAGATTCTGTTGGGGTCAAGTTGACAATGACCTGCTTTGTCATAGTGACACTTACTACAATCATCAGATAATCGTACTTGAAGAACAACCGAGGAAGCTATGAAAGTAAAAGGGTCATAAGTATCAGGCAGGTCCTTGACAGGAAACTGAATAACGGAACATGAAGATGATAATAATAAGCTATGGCTCTGATTGCTCTCTGGGTATGTACGATCATAATAAATGACATCAGAATCACCACAGGTAAAATTGAAGAAAGAACCAGGATTTCTGACATGGAGGGTTCGGTTGCATCTGAAGAAGAGTACAATGTTTGTCATCTTGAAAGAAGCCAAAGGAGAAGGGAAGGTGAGAGGAAGAGTGTAATTACTAGTAAAGGCTTCGCAGTTTCTGTTTCTTAAACGGTCGTGGAGACCCAAGTCCCTGATAACAATGGTAGATTCAGCAGAAACAGAATGACTGACAGTTAAAACCTCCAAGGTTGTTCCTTTATTGCTTGGTAGAGTTTTAGGAACATTAGGACCATCACAACCTTGTATTACAAATAAGCCACAATCTGAGTATTCTGAGGTGGTCCATGGGAATTGAATCTTGCCCAGATATCCACAGTCAAATGAGGTTGGACACTTCGATTCTACAGCGACATGAAGTGGAAGAAGAAGACATGAAAGCAAGAAGATGACCCTAAAGACATAAACTGAAGCCATCCTCAAATGAACTCACAGCAGAATCTGATTCACTAATGGCTAAACCTATGGCCTTGTTTACATTTTACTGGCTATATGATGAAACCAGGTAGCAAAAAGATTTCTTTCAATGGTCTGCCTTTGATCAAACTGAAAGATTGTATTCAATAAAGGAGAAGGTAAAGCAAGTTCAAGTCTTGGCGGTTGACCTGCAGCAGAAAAACTTGACTCTTGAAAATCCAAACCATTTGGTTTTCAATCTACGTCTCTCTATCTCAAGTTTTGTTACATCTGTGGATTCTTTCCTTTTTTGTTTTTTTTTTTTGTCAATACATTTGTGAATTCTTTGAAACAAGAAGATTGAAACTTTCAGGAAAAAATGGATGGCTGAAAAATAGGGGAAAAGAAATGAAAAGAACAAACGCAAAAACAGGCAATTTTCTGATGAACATTCTTAACTAGCTAGAAAGGGAGCAAGTCCTCTTAAATTGAGATGCGTAAATTTCTCTAAAGTTCTTTTTTCTTTAATATTTCCCCCATTTTATTATTTTTTATAAAATAAAACCTTTTATTTCTATCTTAAAAAGGAAAATTCTAGGAAATTCGCTTATTATCAACTTCAGAGAATCCATTCCAAGCTGAAAACTTCTACTCCAATTATATTTTGCACAAACAATATCCTCAGTTGATATAATATTGACAAGAAACTACGCATGAAAAATCATGTGGCCCTTCAAAGAACATTCTGAGCTTGTTAGATACATATATAATTAATTATTTATGTTGCCATCAGTCAAGAAATTTTGATCTCTTTTCCCTATATTTCAGGCTCCGAATATTTCAATTCAGAGCCTTAAATTGCCGCCAAAAACATTGCAATGGGACAGTTCTAATTTTTCCCCCGATTTGTTGAATTTGTGTTTACTTAAATATCAATTCAATTGGGAAGTTTATTGCAAATGAAAAGAGACTTCTTATTTGTCTTTGGTTTTTTAATTTGTAAATACAAGTAACATTAGATCTTCAAGTAAATAAATAATCATAAAACAACTCCATGAAATGGAATACTATTCAACATAAACTACATATCCGTGTTTTTTTGTTTTGTTTTGACCAGCTACTACTTGTCCCTGTCTGAAGCATGGTAAGCACATAATTTTATATTTTTATGTAACGTATTGATTAGTGTTTTCATTATATTATTATTTTTTTTTTTTTTTGTTATGGCAACGTTGCATACATTATTGCCACAGGATATTAAATTATGTTGTCTGTAATTATCTTGGCAATTATCACGCCTAATCTTACTCTTACTTAAACCAGAAATACATGTTTGACTACTTTAAATTTGACTGTCTTCTGAATAAAAAATATTTTTTTTACAAATTATATTTTGGTTTTCAATGGCTGACCCTTTTTTTTTTTTTTTTGCTGTGAGGAAACCTAAATTTGAAGATTCTAACAACGAAATATCAAATACTATTATTGCAACTAAATTCAAAAAGTAACAAACATCTTTCTCTTTCATTTGACATAACGACATATATTATACTAACACTCAAAAACTTTACCCAAAAACTTTTTAACCTCATGGAATCTTCTTTTCACCTAAGTGATTATGTGAGCACCAAAGAAAAAAAAGATATTTATTAAAAAAGGGCATGGGTAATTTTAATAACTGATATATTTTTCAATCAATGAACTAAACACTCCTTCACTTTTTTTTATCTCTCTGAATTTTAAACACAAATTAAGAATTAAGAAATATCATTAATGCCTTAAAATTATTTTAAAATTTTTATAGATGCTCGTAGGTTGTTTTATTTACTCTTTTCATACTTATCTCTCTTACCCAATAATAACATTAAAGAGGATAAGTTCGTAATTAAATAAAAATTAGTAATATTGTCTTTGACTTATAGAATAATATATAAATAGAAATAAAAAATTCAAATATGATTATTTACCCAAAAAAAAAACAGATAGAATATGTTCAATTATCAATATCATTCCCTTAGCCATTTATTTTTACTATTGCGTCTTTTGACTTCTATTATACTGAGTAAACAATCCTTTGTATAATGACGTCTTACTTCCTTCAATAATATTAATTAATAATCTACCAAAATCCATAGATTTATAGGTCAGGCCTCTTTGATAAAATGAAAATAACAAAAACTTCGACACATAAACCAACAGCCGTCAAACTAATCATAAAATTATTTTTTTAGATCCATAGATTTATTGATCTGGCCTCTTTTATTTCTTATCTTCCTCTCCCAGTCTTCCTTTTCTAATCAAAAAATTAATTTTTTGCGCGATTTAGATCTGATCTTTGATAAAAATGTTTTATTTATTTTATAGTATTAGTTTAAAAAGTGTTTAAATTAAATTTTAGTAATTTGAAATGGATTATTTACTTTTTGTTTATAAAAAAATAAAATTATGAACCATCTAGATTTTGATGGGGAAGTTGATGAAAAAGCAAGAGAAAATCCTTACCCCACCGCGGGTCAAATTTATCATTTGAATTCATAAAAATTTATTAATTTTAATATCCATATCCCTTTTTTATAATTATTTCATAATTTCAAATTTCCATACATCCTAATTATATTTTGAAACGTCAACTGCTTTGACACCCTTGTTATTATCCCGTTTTCATTTATCTTCTCTTTTTTTTATTAATTTAAATCTTTTTGTTCTACTTAAAATTTTAAATCCTCAAATTTTAAATATAAAATTCAAATCTACCAATCGGAAGCTTCCTAAGTGATTTTTGTTGGGGGTGTTTAAAAGATAAGGAAGAACTACATTAAAATTCTATATAAAAAATTAATTACTATAATTTTTATTGATAATTGAATTAAATTACATTGACAATACAACCAGTTGTTGATACAATTTAGTTTAGTTATCAATGAATTTTGTAATAATTAATTTTTTTTCCATGAATGTAATTCTAATTCTCTCTTAAAACAATTCCAAGATGCTATACGAAGTCTAGATTATGAATTTTGACCAGTTTCTCCATTATCTCCTATCAAATAGTTCTTCATCTTGAACAAACTTTGTTGAAAATTTCTGGAATTCCTACACCACATGGTCTATGCTATTGCTATCATATCAATTGCAGTGAGTGATCATGACAAACCCACCACTAACAACATCAGTCAACCAAGAATAATCAGTCTATCAATGTCATATGTTTTGTGACAGTACTGTTAAATTTAACTCAGAGATAGAGAAAAAGAGACTAACCAGGATCACATTTCAGAGCATGATCTCTATCCGGGCAATAGCATTTGAAGCTGTAAACCTCTGGCTCGGCGTTGAAGCCACACTTCCCTCCCGTCTTCTCACACAAACTACAGCTTGACACAGTCCAATTCAATACAAACCCTCTTCTCAACAAATCTCCATTCTTAATCTCTCCTTTCTTCGTTCCATTAATTTCTATCTTCGTCTTCACCACCACACCATTACACTTCTCCGTCGCAGACCTCAAATCTCCACCCTCCTCCGTCATGGCCAAAACCGGCATCGTTTCATTCTCTGCAGAACACCCAATTCTGTACTTCAAAAGATTATCCGGCAGCGACCCCGTGTTGCATGACCCGAACACCAAGAACAGGTCGCTCTGGTTCGGACCGAAACTGAATCTGGTTCCATCAAGGGTGAGGTTGTGATTACGAGGAATCGCACAGGAACTGCGGTTAGAGATAGCAGCCTCGGACACTCGAATTGATTGGTTGGGGTAAGAAATTTCATGGATGATGTACTGGGTATTGGAGACACTAACGATTGGGAAGCCATTACCGGAACAAGAAAGCCCGAAACCTGGGTACCCACAGAAGGGTTTTTGTCGGCCTTCGATGTAAAATGGGTAGGTTATTCGGTGTTTGCCGCAGGTTGCTGGCTGACAAGCTTCGAAGTTTGAGTTCAGAGACGAACACAAGGTGAATCTGGATGTGAAGGCGAAGACGAAGAAGAAAAAAGAGAAGAGTTGGTTTTGGATCATTTGGGCTGTGTTGCGTCAGAAAGTGGATATGGAGATAGACATGTGAAGAAGAAAGAGGAAGAAGCAGAGAGAAGAGCACACAATTATTGCAATGATGATGAACAATGAATATAATAATAATGGGTAATTAACGATGATGATACGAAGGGTTTTCAAGTTTGAAGTTTGAATGGACATCGATGAAGGATTTGACCAGAAATTTGAGAGCTGTATCGATCATGCAATTCAATTCTTCCTCTCCCACTTGTAACCAGAAGTATGAAACCAATAGATTTATTTCCTTTTTAATTTATGCTCACTGCATATTCGCTCCCGTTTTAAATATAATAAATGAAAAAATCATCCCACTAAATGAAGTAGCTATCTTTATCATAAATTAAAAATTAAAAATGTTTCTAATTAATAAAGGATATCCACTTTCTTTTTTTATATATAATAGAAAACATTTATATCTTATAATTTAAAAAAGTTAATTAACTATAACAATTATATTTGAAAATAAAAAATGGGTCAAAATATCCTATATTAATCAAATAAATATACATTAATTGTTTCTCATTTCTATAAATTATGAGAAGTGATTTAATAAATATGTAATAAATGTTTATTAAAATGAGTTATTTTGGTCATAAAAAGGATAAACATAACTTTTAGTCCTTATATTTTATTTAATTTTTACTTTTGGGCTCTATATTTTTTTGGGTGTTTTAGATTCTTGTACTTTTCTTTTTCATTGTTTTAGGGCCTTCCAAGGTCTCTATATTTTTTTCTTAAAATGATCAAAAATAATAAAAAATAAAAGTGTAGAGACTTAAAATACTAAAAAAATATAGAGACCAAAGTAAAACACAAATAAAATACAGGAACCTAAAATTATATTTATCTTTAAAAAAAAATATAAGTCAAAAATGATAGTTTCTCTAAAAAAATCAGAGGGAGTACCTTATATTTAATGATTCGTACATAATATTTACTTTCAATTTAATGAAGGATATCTACAATCTTTAATTAAAATTAAAATAAAATAAAATAATGCATAATCAATGAATTTGGATTTAAATTTGATACATGATTTAAATCTACTCACTTAGTGAATATTTCAAAACACTTTTTACATGCTATACTTTTTAAAAATTTAAGATTCCATTTTTTGAATATTATGAGGCAAGATCTCTTAAATTATTTGATTAAATTAAATAGTTATTTTCATATCATGTGTAACACTTACTGAGTGAGTGAACCTAACTGCTCACACCAAATAAAAGGGTTTTATTTAAACCAAAAACAAATTTGAAGTACAAAATGAGGTTGAAACTTGAAGTAATATATATTGGGGCATGGGGATTTTGTCCAGTTGTATAGTCTCTTTCTTGTGCAGCCTCTAAATTGGACTTTTTTGGGGTTGAATTAATTGAATGTATTCAAACCCTGAGAAATAAAACTTGCCGTATCTAGATCGGCCTGCATCGCCACCAAGTGGACAACTTGATCAAATTATAACCGCAACTTTATTCCCATCTCAATAACCTTTGGCTCTCATAAATCACCCATTAATTAATGCCTTGCCACCTTGGGCACTTTTTCCTACTTTCCTTTTCAACTTTAAATGTTTAAATCTCCAAACTGTAACATTCTGATTTTTATATAATAAAAAAATTATGAAATTTAAGTTTTAAAAAAAAAATAATAATAATAATAATAGAAATTTATATTTTTGAGGTTATTTTAAAAATGATATTATGGTTAGGTATTTAATTATAATTTAAAAATTTAATTTAAAATCACATAAGCAATATTTAGTTAAGATATAATACATAAATAATTTTTTATTGTGTGTTAAAAAAAAAGAGAGGTAGAAGGAACAAAAAAAAAAGGAGTGAAGGTTGTTGTTTCTAAGTCCCACATTGGTTAGATGAGGGAAGAGAAGAGGTGCCTTCATGTATAAAAAGGAGGGGGTGTGTGCATTAGGAAGCATGAGAGGCTAAGATGCAATTTAGAGAAAATTATAACTTTTGGCCCAAAGGTTTGAATAATTAAATTCAAACCTATAGTTTTTTTTTAATATAATTTTGGGACTCACAATCTCATTTTTATATTTTTTTCTCTCTTCCTCTCACGTTGCTCGGCGTTTTCCTCGCAAGAGAGATTATTTTCTTTTTTTTCAGGTATGTTCTAACTTTCCTGTTTAGACTAGTATTTAAAAATTTATTTATTACAAAATTAATTTTATATTATTTTTCTAAATAATATTAGCTTTCTAGTGATATGATTATTTTTATAGGATAGAGTAAATATTCTGATTAGGATTTTTTTCTATAGGCTAGTTAATCTGATGATATGATGGATTAAAAATATAGGTTAAAACTCTTAGGGATATAATAATATTATAGAATACTTTCTTGAGGTTGAAACTCATGTTTAAGAATTTTTGAGTTAAAATCTAGATCTATATGGTTGAATTTATGTACAATCTGAGATGTAGGGATAAACTTATGATTATTAAATATTTATTTAAATATGAATGGTATTTTTGAGGTTATAGAAAGGTGATTTGAGGCTTCAGGATAATTTTAAAATTTTTAATTTATTTTTGGACGAATTTTTAGAATATAGAAGGATGAATTGTGATACTAGAAGTGATTTGAAGATAAAAAAAATAGTTTATTAGGGTACGAGAATTTTAGAAAAAGAATTTGAAAAGTTAAATGAGGCATAAATCTTAAATTAGTATTAATATGGATTATAGATCTAAGACTTTCTAATTCTTTAATTAGAGTTATTTATTTTAATATAAAATTAATATATAGTATTGTGAAATAATTATGTAGATTATTATTGACAAAGATAGTGGTAAAAAAGGAGTTGTGAAGGGGAACTTGTTATTCAAGACACAAGGTAACCATTATTAATGTGTTTGTGATGAGTGTGTTTGTGAATGATTATGTGTTGACTTGTTGTTTGGAAAAACTATGAATTATTGAAATAAATACTGTTATATACTTGTTTGAAATTATTGCCAAGTGGGTCAAAAATTTATTTTTATTTTATCATGATGAGATATTATTGTTCGGATATATTCCTGTTTGGATATTTGAATGATGCATGACTTGTCAGGATATTTTAATGTATGATGTTAATGGGAATTTCTGTTCGGTTAATTATTACCACGTGGTAAGCCCTCATTGGACCCAATGAGTGGCGTGTCGCTTGGTCCAACTCACCTTTGGCCGGGTGATTTGGCGTCTGAGCATGGTGAAAGGAGGATATAAGGTGCAGTCATGCAATTAATACTTGTTCGGTTTGTTTGAAAATATTGTTCGGTTAAATGTTTTGTGTGCCTACTTAGCAATCGCATGATTAGTTACATCCGCATGCATCATTACATATTAATTTTTGGTTACTGGGACTTTTAAGTCTCATTCCCCGTGGTTAATATTTTTACAGGAGCGAATCCGGCCGAGAAAGCACCAGAGGTGTAATTATGGTGTATGAGACACCATCTTTTACGTTGCCTCTTATTTTGGATTATACAATGTATCTTGTGCCAACTTAGGACATATCTTGTCTATGGAGCATGTAAACTTTAATCCTTTTTATTAAATGCATTTATATGTCCAAGAGGATTATGTCTGTCCCTTTTGATTCATGACCTAATTTGAATAACATGCTATGAGGATCATGTCTGTCCCTCATGGTTCTAATTGCTTTTTGAGATATTTTAAGACCTATGGTATATTGTCTTGGATGTATCATGGTAGAAATTTTTCTACCATAATAAGGGTATGATAAGGGTTCAATAAAAAAAAAAAAATGATTTGTTGAATTAATAATTTGCGAAAAATCGGTTTATAAATTTGAGGGTGTTACACAGACCCAACAGATAATACCAATATAAATTGTGAAAAATATAAGAAACCATCCTATTTGGTAAATGTAATTTACTTTATAATCCCATATTTCTCAAGTTAAATTTTTATTGATTTGGTCTCTTAAATTTAAAGCAATTATCAACATCCAAGCACGTGAGAAACTGAAAATCTAGATCTGCTCCAAGATTATGAGAAGTTTAGGCCCAATTCAATAATGGAGTCTAAGTTGGCATCCAAATATGCTGTAACAAAGGGTCCAAATAATTTACATGAAGGGAGAATTACACCTAAGTTTCATGTAAAAAAAAAAAGTTACTCTTTTTGATCATCCACGTGTAAATATTAAAATTATTGACTTAATTATAAAAAAGGGAAGAAATTATTAATTTTTTTTATTTAAGATTTGATTGTAATTTTCCTTTACATGCATTCATTGCAAGATAGAGAGATTAAAATTAATAAGAAAAAAGTGGGCCCTTGTCAACAAAAGCTAGTTGGTAAGGATTTGGATCTCAATAAGCCCTCCAAGCTTAACATTTAATTTTTTTTTGGTAATAAAAAAGAAAAGAAAAAAAAGGGTGGCTCTTAGGTGTGAAAATGCTTCTAAGCTCCAACTTCTAAGATTCCATGGTGGCTTGATGTATTGTGTCACGAGTCTTTTGTTGTGTTTCAATTAAAGTCTAATTAAAGCCCATTATTTAAATAAGCATGTCATGTGCAATGTGTACAAGTTCATTAAAGAAGTGTCATATTTACGTTAATTTTGTGCTTTGATTAGACATCATACTTCGACATACATACATACATACATACATATATATATATATATATATATATGTATGTATATGTATTTTCAAATAATGGGTCCCTGTCATTTGGTTGCATTACCAATTACTAAGATGAAAAAAAAAATTAGGCCAAAAAAAGATGACAAAAAAATTTATTCAAGAATGGAGAAATGATTCTTTTTGAAATAATTACGTGTAAATCATATAAAATAGATTTATTTATAAATATATTTCATGAAATTAAAAATTATAATTAGATTTTTTGAGATCTAAGTGCACTATTTTTAGACCCAAATAGTCTAAGCAGTTAAACTGTTTGGATAAAAAAATGTCTGCTTCAACCATTTGACTCATTTTGGCAATTAATTAGGGTTGACCTACTTTGACCCAAGCGATTCTTAAAAACCCTAAGCAAAAACCTGAGACCCAGCGCATGAACCGCTTTGACTTGTTTTTTAATATATACTATGTATATAAATACTTTTATTTAATTATTATGTTACCAATTCAACCATCAGTAACTGGTTAAACCATGAGACCCATGACCCACTAATATTTTTGGTTAATTATTCGGTTTGGT